ACTTGTCCAACAAGCTCTTGGGGGACTGCGGCCGCAGCTGAGCCTCAGCCGCTTCCCTCAAGAACGAGTGAATTACACCCAGAAGCGCCACTAGCATGCGAAGTCTCCACCCAGGTGAGGTCGGCATGTTCCGTAGCCACTCTCTCACAGTAACAGTGCGTCGCATACGATGCGCCAACGGCGTACGGCGGGCAGCCCGTGGGGACAAAAATGTCAATCAAAGCCGAAAACGCGGCTACGTGATCTATGTAGAGCTGCCTTCTACCTAGACCGAAAACCACAATGGTCTAGAGGGTCTTGCAAAGAAGGTTAACTCGCTCCTAGGCACACGGTTTCCAGCGGGTGGCGTTGCGGGGGCTACGCTGAGGAGGCGTAAAGCGTGTGAGGTTGTTTATTAGTGCGAATGAAGAACACTTCCTCGCACGAAAGATAGTCCATCACCCTCAGTTACTTAACTCCTCATGCGGCCACCAGAGATCCTGGTGAGGACGCGATCCCAGGCCAAGCGCACGCACACAGCAGTGCCTCATGGGTGGACCAAGTGTGTGTAATTTCGGCACGTTGACAAACCAAGTAAGTTTAGTCTGTTTAATGCAGGTAAAAGCTTTCAGCAACATCAAAGTACACTCAACTTACTGGGGTTGTATGATTGCGTAATTGGCTGCATGCGTAAGGGCTGCTTTATCAGGGGCAATATTTTGACATGCAGTTACTTGCAAACGAAAGAGCTTACGCGTAGTTGCCATTCAAAAATTCCACGTTAAGAAACACAGCTTTGTAGCAAGCGCGACCTAAGGGCCCCTGCTTTACTTCACGAAGCCAAAGCCAAAGGTACCCTGCTGTCATTATGCGCAGATTTAGACGCTCAAACTCGGCTCACTTCGTACGTCTTGATGTACATCGTACTTCTTGATGTGAAGAAAATGGCATTTTCAAGTGTGACTCCTTGTTGTGCTGCACGACTGTATCTTGGAGGGCTTGTGGACAGGTACCATGGCCGGAGTCATGCAGGATGTGAGGTGCACTGAACGACATTAGTTATAAACTACTCGAATACTTAGAGCTAGACCATGATTCAGTGTAATAGCTGAAGCCAAAAGCTGATGTGCTTTTGCCCGCAGCCGTAGTTAGGCATTGCTGTGATAGGAAATGCGAGACTCAGATCGTCAAGTACGCCGTAAGTTTCATGAACCTTGCTTGGGTTGGATGCTACGGCGATTCTTCTTCCGAAAAGCTGGGGCGCCATCTCAGTACATTTTTTGTGCAGTGTATGGTACTATCCTGTGGTGGTAAGAATGTAGAACGTCCCTGCGAGGCCTTATAAGCCACTGTACTCAAGACACGGGCAAGGGGAGTTCGCTCAGTAGCGCTGGAATATACGACGGGCACAAGTGGTGCCTCTGAAGTGAAAGAAGAAAACAAGAGGTAGCTTCTGCGAGGGGGTGCACCAGGTGACTCCATGCTCCTGTGCGCGCTGAAGTATCAGCGTCTCTTGAAACGAAATAGACACTGCACGCAGATAGCAAGTTGCGCTAACGTCTCTACTCAACCTGTCTGGTTCATACAACCGCGATTGCAGCCCCTGCACACTTTGGACTCCAGTGGTCCTCGCCTTGTGATATTTGGGGCGGTAGGGTAGTCAAGGCATCAACTTCCGTAGGTCGTTGCCTAGCTAGCACCGGCCCATCAAACGAAACTAGTTTCGAAATCCTCTAATGCTCCGGCTCCTCACACGTGCGTGCTCACAGATATTTGGAATTTCTCAAACCATGGTGCCTTTTTCCACAATATTTTGCCGTTACGCGACTCCTGCTTCACCTCTCGCCCTTTATCTTTGCCGCAGGCCACTGACGCCAATCCCACATTCTTCCCAGTGCGCATGGAACCACTTGTCCCTTGCATTTAAAGTAATATTTGCAGGTAGTGAAGGAGCTCGTGCACCCTACGGATGAACGACCTAATCTATTCTCGCTGCCGTCCGAACACCGCAGACACTCATTTTGCTCTCCTCCCTAAATGAAGATGCTTGAAAAATATTAGGGAAAGCCTCTGAGCACAGCTTGCCGAGCAGTATGACTGAGCTGCGTGCCAAGCAGATACCCCAACGTAATTGCAGTGCTGCATAGTATGGTGAAGCAAGAAAGTGGCGCTGGAAACATCATATGAATTGCATTCAACACCTACAAGATACAAAGTAGCCACGTTGTATGGACAGCAAGCCACATACCTGAAGGTGGCCCCAGCCAGCAAGATTGGCCTTCACGCCTGGAGCTTACAGCTTGCAGTAACCCTGTACATATAGAGAACAACAACCTGCATGATCAGGCGCTGCAAACATAGCCTAGTTTTGCCGTGCAACACTTTGCACGTGTCGTCCTCTTTAAAAAGTGCCGTCCTCTTTAAAATCATTGTTTGTCTTTATTCGGCGCCGATATTATGTGCACGTGAAGTTCCTAGGATGGCACCGCGGGATACTACATCATCGTCATAAAATGCCGCTCTCTGATCTCGACACTCAAAAACTGTCTACGTTTTAGCGTAGCGTCACGCTTTTCCTAACATCTTAGCACAGCTAATTACTAATAGCAGAGGCCACGTTGAGTTGCTGCAAAGGAGGATCTTGGGCATCGAGACCCCCAGCGCTAGTTCTAGGTCCACAGTGTCTGCACTGGCGGCAATGGCACCTCGGCCAACTTCCACATTAGATCCATTAGTATATTTGCGTGTTGCTTCTAGAAGCCCCTACCGTGTGTTTCTTCTGTTGTTAATATTAGTAATAACTAAAAAATATATTGTTCTTAGCGATATCTTATATCCGCAGGTCTGGAGCTGCTCCGTTCTGGGCAAGCGGCCCTGAAGCCGCCGCGCTCTGTCTAGGCCTATCTTGAGCAGCGGAGTCCACATCACGGATCCCGGGTTTAGACATACTTACACGCTATCTTTTTTCCCATGGCCTTCAGCTGCATCACTCCGACAACATTGGCTCCGCGCGTTCCTGTCTGCTTTTTTGTATTTCCTGTCGTAAGCTGCTTCGTACATGCCTTATCCGAACTTCGGTTTGATGCCGCGGAACAGGGGCTTGGGCAACGGGGGTGTTGGTAGCTGGAGCTCTAAGTGGGTCTATCTGCCCTAGGATAGACCCTACCTTACAGGCGATGTGCAACCTGGGTGCATTATGCATGCAGAAGGGTGAGTTTACGCCCTACCTTACAGGCGATGTGCAACCTGGGTGCATTATGCATGCAGAAGGGTGAGTTTACTCGAAAATTATGCCCTGAAGTGCTTTTTGAAATCATGAAATAACTGGCCTGTCGAGCCCTTTCTTCCGGCTCCTCCCAAAGTGAGCATTGGTGTCCTGTGGCGATGCGAGCGAAATCTGTAGCACGCTTGATCGTGTTGTTTTAACAGTAGCCGGGTAACTGTGCGGAGTCTTTTCTGAGATTTTACAGATAAGCTGGGCAGGAGCCCTGCATTATACGCTTCACAGCAAGCTCTCCCTCAGTCTCAGGGAACTGGCTCTCCGCAAATTTCGAATGCGCTAGCAGATACCGGTCTTTGGTCCTCCTTTCATCGACGTTGGCGGGGTTTCCTTCTACGCCCCGCTGCCTGCTATTCTTGTGTCGCTAGATACTTGCTAATATTAAACGTCGCTTGGTGGGAACTATAGTACTGTTCCCCATTGGTCTTGTAAGCCTGCAGACCTTACCTTACACACGCCAGCGGCAGCGCAGCATCAGTCACCGCTGGAGAAGGCAGACAAAAATTCAGCCAGGTTCAGGTGATTGGGTTTGCAACGGCTGGACTTTGTGATCGTGTAACCAAGCTTTCTGAGTGGAGCAAAATGCGTTAAAAAATACCTTCGGCCGGCGTTCCCGGTATTGGTAATACTTGAGAGCAACTAATTAAAGCCCCAGCACTCTACATCCTGCCCCCTTACTAGCCCAATACTTGAACTGCAAAAATTTTATTTCAATCAAATTACTGGGCGAGACTGTGAACACAAAGAACGAAGCTGCACACCATATTATTGCAGCGCACGTCGAGTGCCTGAGCCGGCAAGAGGGAGAGTTCTTCTCTAGCTTAGGCCCAAGGGCTCACAGCTCAATATTTGCAGCATAATTACTATTTCAGTTATCATTTTTCTGCTGAGTTTTCGTTAGAACCTTCCCGAAGGCCCTGGTCGAGAAGAGGAACATGAAGCCTCCAGCTTCCACTGTCTCTGGTGAGTAACTAGACTGTACGTCATTTTTGAGTACTGTAGGAGACTTTACTGGGTAACTAGCTGCAGCTGCAAAGTCGTCCTGCGCTTGGTCAAGTAACAAGTATTCAAGGTTCCTTGCACATGCTAGCGCATACGCGCTCAGGGATGTGTGTTAAGTGCTACGGGCCTGGGTCGCCATTAGCAGGTGTATGCCAACAGCAAAAAGAACTATCGAGAATAGTCAAAACCGACTAGATGGTTTATTGAGAGCGAAGACCAAGCAGTTTAAACTAAACTGCACTACAGGCTCAGGCTGACGCCAGATGGTGACACGCCCTCTACCCATGCCGCTTTACCCCTGGTGCGCATTTTAATCATATTGTTGAAGAGGAACAAGTGCATTCCTGTGCAAAGTGTAGGCCTTAAGTGCTGGCTTAACATTTCCCAATCGTTTATTCTGCAGCGATCGGGTCTGGCTTGATTACACTTTCATGCAAACTGTTTAGGTGGTAGAGAGAAGCTGACACAGCAAGAGCATTCATTACTGGAAATTTTTGAACTAGATTTATTTTGAAGTAGATTTGCCTAGCGTGTTTTAAGAATTTGTGGGGCATGTCTATGTGAGAACAGGCATTTCTTTGTCGCGCTGATTCTTCACATGTAAAGCAGCGGCTCACCCGGTTTCGTATTCGACCACTCTGCATGCGCAAGCGCGTGCATTTTTGCCCATTTTCAGCCCCCTTTTGTCGTTACTGACGTTAAATTGACATTGCATTTGTGCTGAGGGCTTCTGTTCGCAATGTCTGCCCGTGAGCCAGAAACTGCCCGTATGGGGTTTATTCATTCTGCAGACCACAGAAGCAACGGCAGCGACACTGACAGCCGGAGCTTGAATTGCGCATCACACAGCGAAAGTGCGATTGAGGAGGAAACACCAGAAGACACTCAAACGAAACGCGAAGCCTCAGATGACCCTGAAGGCCTCACCATCCCTAGTGGCTCACAGGGCAGTGATGGCGGAGATGGTGGAGGTGGATCGCACGACAATAATTCCGCCACTTTAGGGCCGGCGCCTCAAAGTGAAGGTGCAGTCGAAGAAGAGATCGAGGGTGAGGGCGAGGCTGCTGGAGAGCTGCGGAGGACGGAAGTGGAGTACAGCGACAACGGGTCACAGCACTGGGAAGAGGCTGTGAGCAGTCCAGAAGAAGGCAGTATTCTTTTTCAGTCTGATGAGGACTCTGATAGTAGCTCTAGCTCAAACAGTAGCGAGGACTCCCCCAAAACAGTGGCAGACGAACCGGCTGCTGATGCGGAAGGGAACGCGCTCGGGTGCGCCCATTATCGCCGCAAGTGCAAAGTTGTGGCTCCATGCTGGTGAGTGCTCTTTTTCCTTTGAAAATTGCTTATCATAAAGCTGATAGTGGCTGCCGTACGCGGAAGGCCACGGCCCGTCGCAGTGAGCAATTTTTTGCCTCTAAGGGGATGCTGTGGTGCCTTTACTGCAGCAAGGAGATTTATTGGTGCCGCCATTGCCACAATGAAGCCTATGAAATGGATCTATCCAACGCACAGTGCGTCACTTCGTTCTTGCTTTTCTGGATTGTTTCGTTTGCCTGCGTAAGCTCGGATCGATATCTTTAAAGCTAGTTTTGATTTGGTCTATTGATGCTTGCAGTGAAATAGATCGCCATGCTGTTGAGGAAATTGTCTGTGCCGTCTGCGAAGCCCGGCAGCCGGTAAGCAACAAGTGCGTTGGGTGCGGCACCGTCTTTGGAGCGTACTTCTGTTCTGTTTGCAAGTTTTGGGATAACTTGGGCGAGAAGAAGAAGGTGAGGGGTGCTTCCCTATTTTTGCCCGCTGGAAAAATTGTTTCGAGCTATCATTTAAACAGTAATATGCTGGTACCTATGATGGTTCTTAGTGCTCTATCTTTGTGTTCTTCAGGTCTATCACTGCGACGAATGCGGCATTTGCCGGTTAGGGGGGCGAGAAAATTACTTTCACTGCCCCACATGCGGCAGCTGTTACCCTATGCAGTTGCAAAATAAGCACAAGTGTCTAGAAAATGCCATGCACAGGCAGTGTCCTGTTTGTCTTGAAGATATGTTTTCGAGCCTGCGCCAGAGCCAAGTGCTGCAGTGCGGCCATACCATCCACTCGGTGAGACCATGGCCGCCCTTCTTTTTTCAGGTTTTATGTTCATAGCCGTCTGCCATAACGTCAAGGCACTGGACGCCACACTGTCATTACTTGGATTTTGCTTGATGCTCTCAGGATTGCCTGAGGCTTTTGCAGAAGCAGAAAGGTTTCCAGGCCATTAGGTGCCCCATGTGTGAGCAAAAACGGATGCAGCGTAGACGTCCTTGCAGATGATCACAAAGGTGCAACGTGCCATTCCGCACTGGAAGCTAAATGTTTCCCAGCAACGGAGAACTTTGTGCAGGGTTGATGTCTCGGCTGTTTCCGCCGTTTGCTTGTTGCTCGTCATTTTTAGGTAGCAAGTCGATTGCAGATTATAGCGAATTTTGGAAGCAGCTCAGTGAAGAAATCGAGAGAACGCCAATGGAGGAACAGATGAGACGGAAAGTGCGTATCGCCTGTAATGATTGTCTAGAAAGATGCACGACCGATTTTCATTTTCTCGGTGAGCTGATACATCCAGTGAATGCTGCAACCGTGCGAGATTTGAGGAGTAGGCCCTACTGCTGCCCACGCCTCACTACGCAGACAGCTTCCACAGCTTCCACACTGTGTTGACGCAATGTAACTGGCGCAGGTCTTAAATGCCTGCATTGTAACAGCTTCAACACTCGCGATGTGGCAGAAGACTGAGCGCCGAGTCAAGCGGGCAACGAATCAGCTACCAAGCAGCCTGGTGCCGCTGCATGGTGTGGTAACACTGAATGTGTTATTGTTGTGCTGAATAGTGAGGAGCTTCACAGAGAAGCTGCTGCTTCGCCATGCAGCCTTCACTTTCTTGTTTACCACCATTGGGGCAGAGACTAAAGTAGTTTAAGTTGCATAACGACCGTTTTGTTCTGTGGTAGAATAACGTGATGGAATGCCATCACAGTGTACTTGAACGCTGCGTTGGCTCCATCTGTGATTGACCCCCCACTGCGCTACGTTGCGCCGAGGGTCTGTATAGACTAGGAAACTGTAGCTGATGGACTTTCGTATGGCGGTCATTTCGGCGGAAGCTCGACAGCTGCTGCGAGCGTGCCGTTTTTTTATGTAGGCGCTGGCGGTGCTACGTCCGGAATATCACACTGCTGACTGTTTTTTTCCCCCATCAGAACAAGTAGTTTACGATGATAGTTGAGGACATTGTTAGGAAGGGAGGAGCGAGTGTCCGTCTAGCCACACAGACCCCCCAAATGGAGGGGCCTGCAGCCAACACAGGCTGCGCGCCAGATAAGGCAAAAGCTGTTTGCAGTTACTGTGAAAGAAGAAGTTCTTTACCTTTTTTGGATGCATAAGCATGAGAGGCTCGTCAATAACTGCATTTTTTGCATACGAGTTTCAAATACCTTTCGGGATCGGCGATGTCGTGACCTTCGTTTTCGATGCAAGATCTTCACGGAAATAGCCTTTGGAAGAGAGTTGTTACCCAGCTCCACCCTAGATTTTAAGCAAAGCGCAGAAGGTAAGGAGGGCTCATCGCTTTTTTGAACTGGGTCTGAGGATGTAGGCAGCCGAGGCACTGAACTACAATCGGAAAAGTTGCTTTGCTCACTGTTGTAGTCCAGCTTAGACGGCGTTATCAGTTGCACATTGTTGAAGCGGCTAAATTTGATTCGCTTTCGAGGAGAGTGCGATGCGAGGCTCTTTTCCCTCGAAGAGTTGGCTCTGCGTCGCTTGAGGCGGCGGCCACTCCCACTGCCGTTCTCCGCGAAATCTGCAGAGGATGGTGTGCGGCTGGCTTCGCGCGTGTTCCGTTCCGCAAGCTCCAGCTCTTGCCATTCTCCGAATTTGTGTTGCAACCTGTTTGTGCCGCATTCGCATGTGCATTTATTCTGTTGCTTTCGCAGGGCGGGCCGGCTGAATTGTGGAGCTGGGGTCGCGAGGGCAGCGACCAACCCTTCCGGTATGTTATCACGCGGTATGGGGAGCATACTCAGGTAGCCACTCTCCTTCTGTTCCACACAGAACTCCGTTTCGACGTATTCTAGACTATCGCCAACTGGATTTTTGTCGAACGCCTGTAAGCGCTCGACTAACTCGCTGCGGCTCCCGGATGTAGAAAAGCCAAGGTCACTGCACAGCTTCCGCAAACCTTCAGTGGGCCAGAGTTGGCGATCTCCAAAAAGGTGGGGATTTACAACAAAATAGGGATCAGGGGAGCCATCAAGAGCCAATCGTCTTCTGGTTTGTGAGAGGCCGTCAGGACCAGGCTGTGTTGGTCGGCATGCTGGGGACAAGTAAGATCGGCGTCCCACTTTGTGACTGCCCGCCTTAAATGCGATCAGAAGGTCCATTTTAAAGCATATGGACTGAAGCTTTCACCATTTCGATCTATCTATTGTGTGACGTGCTCTTTTGGCTGCCCTCGACGCATCCCGATCGCAGTGGAGCACACTGTCTGACGCATGGATAGTGCATTCATTGATCAAGAACTCAAAAGATAGACTTTGTTTGTTGCACCTGCGCCTCGGCGTTGCAGGTGGGTCTAGTGCCTGCTTTCAGAATCAGGATATGAGGGCTGCACCGGCTAGTAGCACGCCACTATTCAGGCACAGTTTCCAATTAAAAAGGTTTCACTCCTGTCCCAATAACGTTTCATTCAAATGCAGCAGTTTTCAATTGCGGAAAATTACTAGCAGGTTACAAGCAAGGAGGCACTTCGAAGCAGTGAACAAATTAAAAAGATGAGGAAACGTGCATGTAAGCTTATGCAGGCGACAGCAGAAGCCTCTAATGAGACAGCCTAGCTCTGTACTTGTTTTTTTTCTCAATAGGAACAGGAATAGAACCTTTAAGGCGCCTGCTGCTGTGACCTCACTGCTTTTGCATGGATTCTGCACGGGGCTTCAACGCAACGTACACAGCGGCGTGAATTTGAGCACGTGGTACGAGACAAGTGAAACGTTACATGAAGCATTAAGAGTACAAAAAAAAGAATAATAATGTACGGTAGTACGAAATGTTAGTTTCGAAGGAAGGGGATGCTCAACCGCACAATTTAGGATCGCCGCTTGTTCTAGGTTGCCCTTGACTTCCAGGCGACGCTCATGGCACAGCGCCATAATTTTCCTCTTATCCCCATGACTTTGAGACCCGAACTCTTAAAACTATAATGCACAACGGTATATACCCAAGGTGAATCTCATTATGGGAGCATTCTTACGGTGTCGCTGTCACCACAGAGCGTGGATCACTAGCTATGTGCATTACAGCTTTCAAAGTCCATTGAAAAACAAAAGATCCGGTACTTTTTACTCGTTAATGCTTCTTCCAGTACTTTCCAGTTAATCAATTCAGCGCGATGGGGAGTAAAGAAACGTTTGTTTTGCTAGACAGCCGCGATGTTGGGCTGGCTGTGGAAAAACTTGAAATGCTGGTGAGCAGCACTGGACACGTTGAAGCGCAAATCTGCGCGTTCCAGGACCAAAATTCAAAATTAAAAGCAGAGGTTTTGCGCAAGACAGAAGGTAACGGCTTATCTTCTCTCTTTGAATTCGTTGGCATGAGATATTCTTTAGGATCCAACATGATGAAACGCTCATGCGAAGCCGCGCTGGCGAAGCAGCATGAGCGCCTTCGGGTTCTCCAACAGTAAGACAGAGATAGTCTAAGCGCTAACTTTCGCGGAAGCAGGCCTAGCCGCAGAGTTATTACACTGCGCCAGTGCCGACGCCGCGCAGTAGAAACAAGAGAAGAAACCATGCATGTAATAAGGAACGGTGAGCATCTGTGCCGCTTCCACCTTTCAGTTGCTTGCTTTGTATTCCGGATTTGCAGAACTTATCTCGCTGCAGTCTCAGTACAACTTCATGATGGAAGAAAGCGCTTCAAAACAGGCTTTTTTGCAAGCTGAATGCGTGAGTAGCCGTCATTTACCAATAATTTACGCGAAAAGAAGCCTTGAATTGAGCAGGAAACCTATGCCAAAGAGCACGGGTCGTTGCTTAATGCTTTGGAAAGTCTCAAGAAAGAGAAGGAAGAGAAATTCACACATACGACACACGTACAAGAGGTTCTCATGCTCGCTCAGGAAGAGAAAAACAAATTAGTTCGAGAATTGGAAGCTGAAGACCATGCGTTTTCAACCGGAAAGCAAGTACTGGGGGATACTGATCGGTCCAGGGACCGCCATAACACGTATGAGAGCCTGCGAAAACAAGTCAGTTTGCTGGAGCAAGTAAGGCAAAGCTTCCGTCCTCCCAGCTAATGCAACTATAACCTGTGATCTAGAAGAAGCAGAAACTCATTGTTACCAACCAGTCGGGCATAACCCGAAGCATTCAAGTGCGGAGCACAAAAAATTACCATGGACCGTACGCTCCTTACTGTGGCCGGGTCTTGAGCGAGTTGATTGAGACTGGGGGAAGGACGAAAATCCCCCAGAACGTATCGCACCACGGCGATATATGAAGTCACCACATATCGCTGTTTTCAACATCACATGTCCCTGCGAGGCTTTTATTTCCTCCATACAAAGAGTGACAATACTTCGCAGGCATTATGCGCGCGCAGTGCTCAGTCTGTAAGGGGTGCCCACGGAATGGCCACAGCAACAGAAAGCCAAAATTGACCTGTAAAAATAACAAGAAAATAGTCCAGAGGAAACCATATTCTCCTTTTAAGAGTCTCACATAGAGTGAGGTAAACAAATTGTGGCCGTAGGATGCTGCACGTATTGGTAGAGCCGTCTGTTCCTCTTTCGAACATTTTTTCCTGATGCCCCTCCTGAAATCGGTGCAAACATAAACATTTCAAGCTGCGAGGAGGATGCAAGCAAAGCAGACTGTGACTGTCATCAATTTTTTGTTCGCGTCCTTAAATTACACTCGAGTGCTTTAGTAGGCTTAACCGCTGAGCACGCAACCCTCAAACCAGGTGGCAGTACACCACATCACACACCAGGCACTTAATCGGCTTCGCTGTCTACGTATTCTTCCTGCACGATGCTGCTAAGCCGAACAAGGATAACTATAGATTGTGGATGGCGTCATTTTCCCGCGGGGAAGGCGTCGCGGTAGCGATCTGCTTTCTGCTGGGTCTGAACAACACAGGGAGTGTGCATTCTATGAAAAACTATGGCGCCCCCTGCCCTCAAGGTAGCAGAATTAAAGTGGAAAGTGTACGGCGTTTTCTGAAGTAGATGATCATGAGCAGGCTGGATCATGCGTGGAAAGGCGCGCAACTGCGAGGCGTTTCCCAGCTACGTTGGCCCATGCGCAGTAGGCCTATTGAAGCATTTCACGTAAAAGTTGCTTGCCTTGATAGCTTACCAATAGACTGTCAGCGTATTCCCTGACGAAACAACAGTAAAACGCCAGCTGGAGACGACATGCAGATTCGAATGGCCGATACTTCAAACCTGCGAAAAGGATTACGAACAACCATGCCCTGAGCTTTGGGTGTGGAAAACTTCCAGCTTCCTGCATATTAAACGAAATTGACGCCTCTCACTTCCTTTCAGTTGCAGCTGCAGGACAATGGCTGCGCTGCACCGTATTCTTACACAGGTAGTCTATCCACTAAATGCAGCAACGTGAACCACACAATGCAGGACTGCAGATAAATGTGAGAGGAGGCAATCGTTCACCGCCATGTCGCGAGTAAGTGGCCTCAGGAATAGAGAGCCTCCTTTGAGCCTGTTGACATCTGAACAGGAGGAAAAGATGACCTACGAAAGACGCTGTGGCCTGAGTTGGCCCTGCGTTCCTCTTTGCTCGCGGGATTACAGCGCCAACTGCCCCGAGGTAACTAGGAAGTTTGAGAGGTATGGATGTCAGAATTGAACAGATCCGTTTCGCAGGGATGGCAAGAATCTGGTTTGCAACTACAATTTTGCGAGTCTTTCACCTGCTGAAGTCAACTTATGCGCTGAAACAGAAGATCAGCACTCGTGTACCGCCGGACCAGAGTACACAGGCCCCTGTGTGCCCAGCATGAGTTTCCGAAACATGGACAAGACCATGAAGGTCTCTTGCTTTTTCAACAGCACAATTTGTCGATAGCACTCACTTCAAAACGCCGCAGCAACTAATGGAGACACATTGCCTGCTGTCGTTTCCATGTGCGGAATCGTGTCCAGCTGACTACAGCCGGCCATGGTACGGCTTCAAAGACAATTTTTCCGCAGTATCAGTTGTTAGCAACAAACAACAGTCCTCGGGAATGGCTTGCACTCTCAAGTGATGGGAGTTGCTTGTCACCAGGTGGGCAGCAGTTGAGATGTGCGGCTCACGTGAACACAACTACTGAGGGGAGGCTACTTTGCAGACCAATACAAGGGAAGCTGCCAAGGTCGGCACAAGCTTGCTGGTAAGAAACTACCTGAATCTACAGCTACAATAAAAACTAGAGGGAACTACACAGGGCGGTCGCTTGACCAGAAACGCAGGTAGCAATGATTCAGTAGAACTTAATGACAGCCGAAAAATTGACAAGCTTCGAACTAACGCACGCAAAGGTTCGCTGTCCGGTGCAACGTGAGCTGGCCCTGTGCAGCTGGCAGAAAACCCGCCAGCATCTCTGAAACACCCGCCACTGCCACCCCTAAGCCTCAGGAAAGCAGGAAGCGGAAAAATGAAACGCGTACGTTACTTGTGATTCTTACGACCACAGTGACCAGCTACACCACAGCCAACATTCAGCTGCTGGACTTTCGCGCAGCTTTCTGGTTCGAGCCGGAGACGGTTTCGTTGTGCGTTCGCCGTGAAGCAGCATCGACAGAAACAATCATTCACATGCTATTCGCACAATTCAAAGAAAACTAATCTAAAGAGCCGACAATCCTCTTGACCTGAACCCCAAAAACCGAAAATGTTCATGTCGATTTGCTTGCCAGAATTGCGGCTCGAACCTGCCCACAAGGATCACAGATATGGAAAAATAAGTAACCAAAAAGCTGGTACGCGGGCCCTCGTGCAGTTGAATTCTAGTCAGAGGAACAGCAAGGCTAAAACCCGTAAATACTGAGGCGTAAACATACTGAAACTAACAAAAATACGGAAACAGGAAAAAGAAGCCAGAAATTGACACGATGACAACAAGATGAAGAATAACAATACGTAAAACGACATCTCACCTGCTTAAAACGCTCAACGCATTCCTTTCGGGTCTTTCCCGGTACATCGTTCGCGATGGCCGTCCAACGTTCGACGGCGGGCATGCTTGATGGGTGCTTCGCAAGTGCCCTTTCAAGAGCCTGCACATCCAAGTACTGACAAATGCATGCAAAATGACATTATTGTCACTGATGATTGAAACACGACCACGACTGGAGCCCTCACTGACTAGTTGATTG